GCAAAACTTGTCAGATGGAATATGGGACATCCTTTTCTGCACGAGCCATGTTCAAACTTCAAATATAGATATTGATGTGTTTTGCGCTTGCTCTTCATTCTTTCTGATGAAGCTATATATTAGTGCTTAACCAAGTATTGATAGATTAGCAAGAAATCTATTAATTTATGCTCCTAGAGTTAATTAGCTGTGGATATATTCGCTCTGTTCTCTCCATCTCCTCTACTGTGCTCCGCTTTGTTTCTGCCTCGAGATGCTTCGAGCGCTTTCTCTTTCCCTTCGTTCCCCTTCAACTATCAGGCGCATTCGCGGCGGTTTCTCCGCCTGGGTTCAGCAGTTTGGGGTGATTTTCCAGCGACCATGCATTCCGTCAAAAACAAAGGAATTACACCTGTCGCGGGGTCTACTTATGACAAAACGTGGGTCATCGATTACGAGTCAAGTTATTCCGAGTTAATTAATCTTCGGTTTCAAAAACATTTTCTTTTCGAAAAAAGTCTGAAGTTTTTTCAGAATGATTTTCTGCTCTGTTTAACACGGCGACAATGTACGTAGCCACTCACTGAGAAGATGAGGATCACAGAAAATGCTATGAAATTATCATCAGAAGATTAGTTCAAAAGATTTCTCTGATGAATCTTTGTTGAACTGCATTTTTTCCCATCATGTTATTATCAATTATCTTCTACTGCTTCATTTTAATAAATTAAAAAAGAAGAAGGTGTTTCTTCGTTGTCATCTTGCGTTGCTTGCTTTAAGAACACCACTCCAGCATTATATTATTTTTTTCATTCTAATACATTCATGTAAAGTAAAAAAAATATTTTTATTTTTTTTATTAAATCTTGTTTTTATGATTGATGAGTTGTTATTTAGAAAATCATTATCATGGTTGATAAATATAAAAAAAAGGGAAAAGAGTTTTAATTAAAAAAAAACTTCTTTTATCCTTAAAAGTTAATTATTTTTTTTTTGTATTTATTCTATTTTCTTTCACTTTTTGTTGAGTAAAAAATTAACTCGGAACTCTATTCTTTTTGTTATAAAAATATATTAATAAGAAAATGAGAAGTTATACTAAAAAAATTATTTTATTTCAATAAAATTTAAATTATTACTCTTCTTACAAAATAAGAAAAAAAATATTACTATATAATTAGTTGAATAAAACTTGAAGAGTACTCATCATAAAATATCTTAATTTATAGTTATTCTAAACTTCCTAACTTAGTTTATAATTAACTTTAACATATATATATATATATTTATTTATTTGCTCATATAAACTTCCTAACTTAGTTTATAATTAACATTAACATTTTTTTATATATATTTATTTGCTCACATAATTATAAAATTATTTTATTTACCACACACGTTAACTTTTGATTTTTTGTTGTTGTTAGAGAAAAATCTAAGTGATTGATGAGCGTTTTAAAAGAGAAGTTAGGGGTCAATAGGTTTTTCTACACGAGAGAAAGACAACATTTATGTGTTTTTGTTGATATTCAATAAATTTTAATTTTAATTGTTATTGTATTTAGAAACGTGATATTTTAAAATGTTGTATTCTAAAAGTATTTATGTGTTTTGTTGGTATTTAATCTATATAAATTTTAATTGTTATTGCGTTTATAAAACGTGATATCCTATAGTTTATGCATGGTTTCAAAAAAATATTTTATTTTACCAAATCTTTTTCAAACGTATTCATTAATCTAAATTTTTAAATTTACTATAAGGCCCCTTGTTGAAATCAAACAGCTATATATAGCTTGGCGGGTTAGTCACAGAATTTCAAGATTAGTTTCTATATATAGCTTGGTTCACTGCACAATGAATACAAAAATACAAGAGAGAGTGCACCCATATATCACAGAGAGGAGGAGAGTTGAAGCAGCAAGCACTTAATTATGGCGACGGTGGATCAGATGGTCTCCTTCCTCCAGCTCGAACCAAATCCATAACTTCTCAGCAAATTAACTCTTCTAAGTATAAAGAAGGCAAGGGGTACGTGCTGGCCAACTGGGATATTGGTGTAGCTGAAGTCTAAAAGCTATATTCGGATTGAAGATCATATGAGGTTTGTCTTTTTATTACACGTTGTGAATTGTAATAGATAAGCTTTCTTTCATTTTCAATTTCCACATTAATATATGAATTTAGAGTTCGTTTGAAATTATTTATGAAAATAGACTTTTAATTTTAGATCATAGTTTAAAGCTTTTTTTAAAACAAAAAGAAATAATTTTGATAAAAATACGTTTAAATGTATATTTGGTAAAAATCACGCAAATCAAATAATGTTTTTAAAGAAAATATGTTGGAATTTATATTTAGAAATTAGAAATTTTAACTTTTGATTAAATCAAGATTCTTTATACACTCTAATTATTATTTCTTTTGTTTACTTTATTTCTTTAAAAAAATATTATTTTAAATGATATCATTTTAATTTTGTTATAAAAAAATCTTGAAATAAGTACCTGGCTATGGAATAACTTTGTTGTATCTATGGTGGAATCACCGAAGATATACAAGGCTGGTACAACCAGTTACAATAATTTTGTAACATAACCAACCTACAATAATTTAATTACTTCCTAAATTCCAAATTTGTTCTCGCAGCAAAGAAGATCAAATAGAAAGGAGTAGAAAAAATGGCGGAGTCAGCAGTGAGTCTTGTAATTGACAAGTTGGCTTTATTGCTAGCTAAAGGGGTGCAACTAACTGTATTGAAAGACGTTTACAAAGAAGTTGTAGATATCAAAGATGATCTGGAGGCCATCAGAGCTTTTCTTAAAGATGCAGACTCAAAGGCTAAGAAAGAAGGTGTGAGCGAAAGTGTGAAAGTATGGGTAAAGCAAGCAAGGGAAGTTGCTTATCAGATTGAAGATGTCATAGACGAATATAATACGCTTCGTGTGGCACAACATCGTGATCGGCGTGTATTCGCGGGCTTCTTAACTAAAGTCTCTTCCTTGGTTCGGAAATTGCCTCTACGCCATAAGATCGCATCAGAGATTCATGGTGTTAGAAAAACTCTTCAGAGAATCAAGGACAGAAGTGAAGGATTCCGGTTCGCATCCTCAGAGCAGGGAGGCTCAAGTAACATTGTCTTGCATGATCCTCGATCAGGTTCTCTTTTCATTGAAGATTCCGAGCTTGTTGGCATTGAATCTACAAAAGATGAATTGATAAGCCTCTTGGTAAGCGGAGAATGTCAGAGGACAGTGATCGCGGTGGTTGGAATGGGAGGAGTGGGAAAAACCACTCTTGCAAAGAAGGTATATGACAGCTACGTCGTGAAACAACACTTTCAATGCCATGCTTGGATTACTGTGTCTCAATCATACGATAGGGTGGAACTCTTAAGGAGCACGTTAAAGAAATTATATGAAGCTAAGAAAGAGCCTTTTCCTGAGGCCTTTGTCACAATGGACGCTTTATCGTTGATTGATGAACTTAGAAAATATTTACAGCAAGAACGGTATTTAGTTGTATTCGATGATGTGTGGGAAATCCGCTTCTGGGGAGATGTGGAGCATGCCTTGGTGGATAACAACAAAGGTAGCAAAATACTGGCCACGACAAGAAATGAGGATGTTGCTAACTTCTGCAGGAGATCTTCATTGGTTCATGTCTATCAGATGAAATCTCTCCCTCAACGAGAAGCTTGGGAACTCTTCTGCAAAAAGGCATTCAAGTTTGATTTTGAAGGGAATTGTCCAAAAGATTTGGAGGAATTGTCGCAAGACATTGTTAGAAGATGCGGAGGATTGCCACTGGCAATTGTGGCTGTTGGTGGACTTCTAGCGACCAAAGAAAGGGTCGTCCCAGAATGGCAAAAATTGGTCAATAGTCTCGATTCTACAATGGCGAGCGATCCTCATGTTGAGAATGTCACTAAAATTCTCTCCCTCAGTTTTCACGACCTGCCTTACGACCTCAAAGCATGTTTCTTGTATTTCGGGATGCTTCCCGAAGATTTCTCCATTAAACGTACAAGAATAATTCGGTTATGGGTGGCTCAAGGTTTTGTACAAGAAAAACGAGGATTGACATTAGAAGAAGCTGCGGAAGAGTGCTTGAATGGACTCATTCGTCGAAGTCTAGTCCAAGTAGATGAAGCTAGCATGAAAGGAATTCCCACAACATGTCGAGTGCATGATCTGGTACGAGACGTCATTCTTTCCAGGTCAGAAGAATTAAGTATCGGCCATGTTTCTTGGAATTCCTCAGCTTTGGAAGGCATAGCACGACACATGTCAATAAGCAAGGGAGGAAGTGACCATCCAAAGGGAAGCACCAGGTCTCAAACTCGCTCTGTCATGGTCTTCTGCGGGGCAAAGCTGCAAAAGCAAATAATTGATGCAATATTTGAAAAATGTAAGCTTTTGACCACATTAGATTTTGAAAAGTGTCCGATAGATGAAATTCCAAAAGAGTTGGGAAATTTGCTACACCTGAAGTATTTAAGCTTAAGAGATACACTGGTGTCAAATCTTCCAAAATCAATTGGAAAGCTGCAAAACCTAGAGTTCTTAGACTTGAGTGATTCCTTGGTGGAAAGGTTGCCAGTTGAGGTTAACAGATTCCCTAAATTGCGATATCTTTTGGGTGATCCTAAACGGGGTTGTGGGTTCGTTGTACGTGGTAGCCTGGGGCAGTTAGAGCTGTTGCAAACACTCTATGTAATTAATGCAGGTTACCATCATGAACGGGAATTACTTAATGAGATTGGGATGTTGAAGCGATTGAGGAAACTGGGGATCATGAATTTGAAAACTGAATATGGAAGGGATCTATGCGTTGCGCTAGAGAATATGCCTCACCTGCGGTCGCTTTGGGTTGCTTCACAGGGTTCTGGGGTTGCAATTCTTGACTTGCAGGCAATGTCTTCTGCTCCTCTTTACCTCCAATCTCTCATTCTTTGGGGGAAATTAGAAAGGCTGCCTGAGTGGATTTCCAGACTGCACGGCACTTACGATCCTGATGATGAAAGTTCTTATGGAGCATGGGTGAAGCTCTGGTTCGGGTAGCAAACCAAACTGGCTTAAGGGTTTATGATACTACAGGTAACGCGAAGTTAAATGATAATTTCAATTTCATCAAGGAAATTCTTCAATTATTTCTCAAATTTCCTCATTACAATTCAAATTCAATTATCAGCGTTCTTCCATTCTTTGTGGTAGGTAATATTGATGATGTTCAAGTTCTACCTGTTCCCTTCACCAGCTAATTGGTAAGCGCTTTTATCTTTCAATATTGTTCTATATATTCACTCTAAACTAACTCGTTTCTTATAACAATCCTAATACATGCATGTTCTTCATTCACCTTGTCAGCTTGACTCCATTGATCACTACCATGAAAGTGCCTCAAGGAATTCTGCTTCCAAAGACGCAATAATCTTCGTGCTTTATAACTCTATGCCATGCGGCTGTTATTCTCAAGAGATCATTAATTTTCCTGCTTAGTACTAATGTTAATTACTGCTGTGCTGCTTCGGTTTGACTGAAAGTTCCTTGTAATAATTGCTCATTACCAAGCAGCTTGTATACTATCGTTTGATGTACTTCTCCTCAATGCTATGGAGCTAGCTAGCTAGTGCTGCCGCTGTTGGTACTAGAAATAACCTGGCTAGGGATGCATTAATGTCTACAGATGAATGTCCATGTTCTTTTATTAAATTTGGCTCCTCTGTCTGGTTCCAGATGCTTTAGATTCTCCATTGATTAGTACCTGGAGGCTGTCACCCATCACTTTTCTGTTCTGTTGTGATCATAAGTTGTCCCTTCTGCCGTGAAAAGAAAGAAAGGATAGACACACGACAAAGAACAGGGAAAAGAAAAGAAAGAAAGAAGTGGGGGTTCGTGGAAATGGGAAAAGAAGATAAGAAAAGGTCTAAGTCATGTTCACGGGTCAAGCAAGTTATTTCTAGTTGAATTTCTTTTAATTTATAATTTTTTTAGAAAAAAATCAGAAAAACATCAATTTAAAATAAATATTTTTTTAATTTTTTGATAAAAAATCAATGTTTTTTTTTAATATTTAACTGTGTTTAACATGGGTGATCATATGATCACATGTCAATGTTTTTTTTTTCTTTTTTTTTATATCATGATACACAAGATTACTTCCTCTTTTCTATTTTATAAAACCTAAAATGGATCAACTACAAGCTGGTTAGAATATACAACAATGTATATAGGAACTCATTTAGAATCAAAGAAAACATTAAAATATTCTCAATTTTTGTATTTTTTTTTTTAAAGAGTTGAGATGTTAGCTATTCATATCAGTAGTGAAGGAGAGGTTTTTTTTTTTTTAAAATTCAATATTTTCTTGATTTTAAATTTATATCTTTATAAATTATTTGATTTATTTTTTATAAAATTATTAAAATTTCAAATAAATATCCTGATATTTAATTTATACTTGTTTTTATAAATATTTATTATTATTGTTATTTTATTATTAATCTCAAACAATGTACCCATCACTTAATTTTCTGTCCTGTTGTGGTCATCAATTGTTCCTTCCGGCGTGAAAAGAAAGAAAGGATAGACACACGACAAAGAACAGGGAAGAGAAAAGAAGAGCAGAAAAGAAAGAAAGAAGCGGGGGTTTTTGGAAATATGAAGAGAAGAAAAGAAAAGGCATGCAAATATTTGATTTATACTCGATTTTATGAATGTTTATTGTTACCTGGCAAGATATTTATAGATTCCAGAGTTATAGGGAATCTCTTAGTTTCCTTGTACATATATTTTACTACGTAGAATAGGAGTCCATAGAGAAGGAGTTCGTGTAGAATAGGTTCTCTTACCACCTTGTATATAAGTGTTGTTCTGCTGTAAAGATGAATTAATAAAAACAGTGGAATATTTCATAAAGAGAGAACCTGTATCTATCGTAATTAACATGGTATCAGAGCGAACCTGAATTTTTTTTTCTACACCATTTCTTCCCTGCATCCTTCTTTGAACCTTGAAATCCAATAATCTTCCTCCTGCAAATAATGGCAGAACACGAACAAAGTCCAATCGTTCAAACCACCCCGAACAATTCCTTGTCAAACCCAATAATCATTCAACAGGAAACCTCTGGCTTCCCTGTCAGTGTTATTCTCAATGAAACAAACTACACGTTATGGTCTCAGTTGATGGAGATGCGTAGTGGAGCCCGTAACAAGGTTGGATATTTAACTCGAGTAGTGGCAAAACCTGTATTTAATGATCCAAACTATGATATATGGATTACTGAAAATCATAGTCAAGAGCTGGCTCAGCGAATCAATGATCAGTCCCCATGTGATGCAGAGATTTATTTGTCTTGTCACAGCAAGAGAAATCTGGGAAGCAGTATCAAAGACTTTCTATGATGGATCTAATGAAACACGATTCTTTGAATTGAATCAAAAGTCTTTTTCGACTGCTCAGAATGGCAGGTCTTTATCCACATATAATGAACTTGTTGCAATTTTCCAGGAAATCGATCATCGTAACACAACTCAAAAGGAATTTGTTTAAGGAATTATACATCTTCATACAGCGATGATGAGGTTGCGGGTACATATTTTTTTAAACGGTCTTGATCTTGAGTCAAATTCGTGGTGAAATTCTTCAAAAAGAACCAAAATTAGATTCGGAAGCAGCCTATGCATTGCAAGAAGAGAGTCACAACAGCGCTAGGTTATGGGATTCACAGGTTATGTCTGCACTCACTGTGGTGAAATTGGCCTTTCCAAAATAATGTTGCTTCGAGCTTATTGGATATCCTGAAAGGATTTCTTAGATTAAAGTCCTACAAGCTTTGCCCAATTTAAGATTTCTTAGATTCTTTCGTGGATACAATGGAGAGAAGATGCATTTTGAAGGAGGAGGGTTTCAGAAACTCAAGTCTCTACGTCTTGCAGGCATGACTGAATTGAATACAATGATAATAGACCAAGGAGCAATCCCCCTTCTTGAAAAACTTGAAATAGGTTTTTGCCAGCGTCTGAAGGAGGTGCCTTCTGGGATACAACACTTGAAAAATCTCAAACAGCTATCATTGGCAAAGATGTCAGATGAGTTCAATGAGAGATTGTCACCCAATAGTGGCCAAGACTACTGGATAGTGAAACATGTACCAGTTCTCCAATACGACGGCACTTACGATCCTGATGATGAAAGTTTTTATGGAGCATGGGTGAAGCTCTGGTTTGGGTAGCTAACCAAACTGGCTTAAGGGTTTGTGATACTACAGGTAACGCGAAGTTAAATGATAATTTCAATTTCATCAAGGAAATTCTTCAATTATTTCTCAAATTTTCTCATTCTTTTTACTCATTGCAATTCAAATTCAATTATCAGCGTTCTTCCATTCCTTGTGGTAGGTAATATCGATGATGTTCAAGTTCTACCTGTTCCCTTCAGCTAATTGGTAAGCATTTTTATCTTTCAATATTGTTCTAACTAACTCGTTTCTTATAGCAATCCTAATACACGCATGTTCTTCATTCACCTTGTCAGCTTGGCTCCATTGATCACTACCAATGAAAGTACTGCGTCGAGGAATTCTGCTTCCAAAGACGCAATAATCTTCGTGCTTTGTAACTCTATCCCATGCGGCTGTTATTCTCAAGAGATAATGAATTTTCCTGCTTAGTACTATTGTCAATTACTGCTGTGCTGCTTTGGTTTGGCTGAAATTTCCTTTGTAATAATTGCTTATTGCCAAGCGGCTTGTATGGGATTGTTTGATGTACTTCTCCTCAATGCTATAGAGCTAGCTAGTGCTGCCGCTGTTGGTACGAGAAATAACCTGGCTAGGGATGCATTAATGTCAACAGATGAATGACTATGTTCTTTTATTAATATTGACTCCTCTGTCTGGTTCCAGATGCTTTAATTAGCTTCTCCATTGATGAGTACCTGTTGGCTGTCACCCATCACATTTCTGCTCTCTGATTGAGCTCGTGTTTACAAGTTTTGTCTGTAAACCTGCCATGTTGTGGCCATAAGTTGTTCCTTTTTTCTGCCGTGAAATGAGAGAAAGAAAGGACAGACACACGACAAAGAATACGGGAAAGAAAAGAAGAGAAAGACAAGAAAGAAAGAAGTGGGGGTTCGTGGAAATGGAAAGGGAAGAAAAGAAAAGGCATACATAGGCATTCATAGTTATTATCCTCAAAACGGTTTCCATCTATGATAAGGTCTCAGTCATGTTCACGGGTCAAGCAACTTATTCCTAGTTTAATTTTTTTTAATCTATAATTTCTGTGCTGGCCAGCAAGCAAAAGCGAAGGCATTATTATTATTATTATTATTATTATTATTATTGATAATAGTTATTGTCGGAGCTAGTTTACAGGAGATGTAAAAGCTAGGTTGTCTAGTTTCTATGTAGCTACGCGCACAACAAGCATCACTTATAACTGCCATGACTTTATGATATTGTTTCCTCTTATCCAATTAAATGCATTGTATGAATTGTACTTCATAATTCAATTCTTATAAAATATATAACAAGAATTAATATTCAAAATAAGAGCTTTTTTAGAGGATGAAAATCTCAGTTTCAATGAATTCCTTAATACTTGTGGAAAGAAGAAAAATACAAAGGAATTTTCCTTAATTCATTATCTCCTAGGACACCCTCAAACCATAAGAGTTGGATTAAGACAGGTCATTTATAGATATATATACATTCCACTAAAGTATACCTTGAAAAAAAAGAATCCATGAGAATTTACAATACACTCTTTTATTTTTTTATCCACATAAAAATACTATTTGGTGATTTTTATTTGCCTATCCTAATATGAAAAACTCTAATCATACTATTTTGTCCAATAAATAACTCTATGGAATAATGAATAATATATATCATCCTAGTTTGTTTCCACATCATTGAAGATCAAATTGTTTTGAGCATTTCAAATGGACCGAACCATCAAATGTGTAATTTTACTCATTAAATACTTAGGCTTTACTTGGAAATAAATCAAATCTAAGACTATGTTCCATTTGGAAACTAGTTTTTGATATTCTTAAAACTTGAAAGAGTAGAATTCTCTCTGTAGGTAAAAGACTTTTTTTAAAAAATTCTCTCTGTAGGTAAAAGACTTTTTTTTTTAAATTAAAATCAATATTATCTAACCTTTCTATCTATGTCTTTATTTAAAATTTCTTTTGAAGTTGCAAAGAAAATTATCTCCATGCAAAGATGATTCTTATGAATTGGAGATATAAATACTCAAAAAATTTGTAAGTAGGCTCCAATTAAAAAAATAATTCTAGCAATAAAGTGAAAATGTTTTTGGCCTCTCCTAGTTGATGAAATTATCTCCTTAAACTTTTCAGAAGAAAAAGAAAGTTCTGATTTTTATAAAGGGTCTAGTGGTTCGCATTTTTAAAAGAAATGTCTAAAATTAATTTGTCTGCTGGGGCCACCATATAAACTTCCACAACACTAGACAATTCTAGCCATTAATTCACAGCGTACTTAAGTTGTTCGCTGCACAGTGAAAACAATAATGCAAGAGAGAGAGAGCGCACCCATATATCACAGAGATCGAGGAGTTGAAGCAGCAAGCAGTTAATTATGGCGACGGGGGATCAGATGGTCTCCTTCCTCCAGCTCGAACCAAATCCATAACTTCTCAACAAATTAACTCTTCTATATATAAAGGCAAGGGGCACTGGCCACCTGGGATATTGGTGTAGCTGAAGTCTAAAAGCTATATTCGGATCGAAGATCATATGAGGTTTGTGGTCATTAATCCTTGCACATATATATTTTGATCGAAACCCCCCACTATGCACTATTTCATTTCTTCATTAGCTTAGCTCACAGGGAATTTAATCACTTATGTGTGTTTACTGTCATCATCCATATGAATTGGAGTAGAGAGCTTAATAATGCTGTGCAATGAAGTTCATAAAAAAAAAATTCATCCTTAACATCATTTTTTTTTTAATAAAAAACCTTATTAACCTCGTCCGATGGTCTGGTAGATCAACATAGTGTAGCAAATTTATCAACTTTTTTCAATCACCATGGCTTTTTTATTATAGTAGTTAGTAGTTGGTTGGCATTTATTAGATTGCACATGGGTTGTGCCAAGGCTCTTATTTCTCCTATAAATAGAGACACGGACGAGAAAGTGAAATATATAAAGAGATGTGTAGAGGAAGTGTGGTGAGTGCAAGTGAGTGAGTGAAAGAGAGAAGACTTTGAGAGAGTGAGTGGGTGTAAGAGTGAAACACTGGGTTTTCTGGTATTATATTAGGTTGAGTTAAGTATTTGTATCATTTCTCCCATAATATACAATCTATTACCTCCATAGACGTACCCAGTTTTGGGGAACCACGTAAATCTACTTGTTTGTGTTTTTTACTTGTGTTTACTTTCGGTCCAGTATGCACAACAAATTGGTATCAGAGCATTAGGGAAGCTAGAACACTGAAAAAACACATTTTTTCAGCTTTTGGTTCAAAGTTGCAGAATTTTCAAAGTTCTTAGATCTTGATTTTGACCACTTGCGGAGATTTCTCTTGTCGATACGAGTCCGATGATAAAAATATCATCAAAATTGGAGTTGAAACGAGCCCTGTAGAGCTCGCTGAAGTTTCGCCTGAAATTTGCCGGAAAAACCAGACAGTGCCAGAATTCTAGCATGAGAAGACTGTCACGTCACCAACATATTGGCGCTAAGTCATCATCCACATCATCAATAGGGGTCCACATCGCCACGTCATGTAATAATGACAGAATATTCTCTTGACATAATAAGAATATTCTGTTAACAGTAAGAGAATATTCCTTTGATTGTGATAGAATATTTTTTATCAGAGACAAAATATTCCTTTCCCGAGTCAACTCGATTAGATTGATTTTTTGGCTAAGTCAGTGATTTTTTAGCCCATTTTTAGTGGAGTGAAGTTTGTTCCTAGCATTTTCAACCATTTCGGACGCAACCTTGGTGTCCTTTTTATGAAACAGCACATCGAAGTTACTGTTTTGGCTCTTTTGAGTATAAAAGTGTGTTTTAATAATTTTAGGAGTCCATTTGTAATTCAAAGACGTCCTAATGGCTGATATTCCAAAAGAAAGATCAGCGAGGAATGCTAGTATACCTCCACAATACATCCCGGTATCAGTACCAAATTTGAGGTGGAGAAGTTTGATGGGAAAGGTAATTTTGGCATATGGAAATGTGAAGTTATAGATATGCTTGTCCAAATGAATTTGAATTTCACTCTAGAAGATAAACCAGAGGATTTGGATGAGAAGAGCTGGGAAAGGATCAATCGGTTGGCCTGCAGTTCTATCCGACTTTGTCTTGTAAAGGATCAAAAGTATGCCTTTTCAGAACAAAACTCTGCAAAAGAATTATGGCAAGCACTAGAGGACAAGTTTATGAAAAAGAGTATAGATAATTGTCTCTACTTGAAGAAAAGGAATTTTCATTTTCAACACAAGAAAGGTACTTCCATAAATGAGCATCTGAATGATTTCAATAAAATGATAGCTGATTTGAAGAATTTGGATGTGGAAATCGATGATGAAGATAATGCTATTTTATTATTGAATTCACTGTCTAACACATATGAACATCTCATCACCACTTTACTATAAGGTAAAGAAAAGATTAAATTCATTAATGTGTCCAATGCTTTGATGAATAATGAGTACCGGAAGAAAGACCAAATTGTTCACAAGAAGTCAACTTCAAAAGCATTGAGAGTTAGAGGCAGAACAAACCCGAGAAGATTTCATGGGCGAGGGAGATCTTGCTCAAAATCTAGATGAGAATCATCAAATAGACAACGCTCAAAATCTAGAGGAGAATCATCAAATAGATAATATCTTGCAAAAGATGAATGTGCATTTTGTCATAAAAAAGAGCACTGAAAGAAAGATTGTCCAATCAAGGGCAATAAGAAAAAACGATGAACCAACATTGAACGTTGCACGAGATGAAGATGAACGAGACTCTATATTCATGGTCTCATCACAAAAAAACATTCTAGTGAATGGGTTCTTAATTCTGCATGTTCCTATCATATGCGCCCTAACCAACACTTATTCTCGAGACTCGAGGAGTTCGATGAAGGAGTTGTGTTGATGGGTAATGATGATGTTTGTAAGATTAAAGGGGTTGAGACTATCTATCTGAAGATGCATAATGGGGTAGTCAAGACACTGACAAAGATACGGTATGTACCTTACTTGAAGAAAAATCTTTTCTCACTTGGAGTCCTAGAATCTAGTGGTTATAAGATTATCATGCATGGTGGAGTCCTGAGAGCAATCCGTGGTGCATTAGTTGTCTTAAGAGGCACGAGGAAAGGAAACTTATATTTCCTGGATGGATCTACTGTTACCGGTACAGCAGCTGTTTCCAAAAGCATAGAAGATGATGAAGCAGATAATTCCAGACTTTGGCACATGCGTTTAAAGCATGCTGGTGAAGAGGCTTTGTAAGGACTGGTCAAGCAAGGTCTATTAAAAGGCGCTAAGACTGGGAAGCATGGTTTCTGTGAGCATTGTGTTCTTGAAAAACAGACAAGGATCAAGTTTGGCACTGCGGTACACAACACAAAAGGGATTCTTAATTATGTTCACACAGACGTATGAGGACCTTCAAAGAATGAATCTCTTGAAGGTAATCATTGGTTTGTTACTTTTATTAATGATTTCTCAAGACGAGTATGGGTGTACATGATGAAACACAAGGATGAGGTCCTTGATATCTTTCTGAAATGGAAGAAAATGGTGGAGACTCAAACGGGAAGGAGAGTTAAGACTCTTCGGTCAGATAATGGTGGTGAGTACACTTCAGATCCTTTCTTTGAAGTTTGCCAAGATGAAGGGATCAAACGACATTTTACTGTGCGCAAAACACCACAACAAAATGGAGTAGCAAAACGCATGAATCGCACATTGATGGAGAAAGTCTAATGTATGCTATCACATTTAGGACTAAACAAAGTGATATGGGGTGAGGCATTAAGCTATGCTCGTCATAGTTAATCGGTTACCTTCAGTAGCATTAAATGAAAGAACCCCCTTGGAGGTATGGTCAAGCTCTCCTGCAAATGATTATGATTCTATGTGTATATTTGGTTGCTCGGCATATTATCATGTTACTAAGTCCAAGCTAGATCCTAGAGCCAAGAAAGCTATATTTTTGGGCTTTAGTGGAGGAGTAAAAGGTTATAGACTTTGGTGATCCGAATCAAAGAAAGTGATTTTGAGTAGAGATGTCACTTTTGATGAGTCTGGCATGTTACAGCAAGAGAAATCACAGGAGAAGGAAAAACAGTCTGGTGATGCACAACAGGTGGAGTTGGAGACTTCAGTCATTCCTATAAAGACTGTTCAGAAAATCTCTACTGAAGGAGATTCAGATGAAAGTTCAGATGAAGAGGATGCAACAACTTCAGCAACCACACAACAAGAATCCATTGCAACGAGTAAACCGAAAAGAGTTAACAACAAGAATCCATTGCAATGAGTAAACTGAAAAGAGTTACAAGAAACCTGCTTGGTATTGTGACATGGTGGCTTATGCACTTCCAGTAATTGATGATGGAATCCCCTACACCTACAAAGAAGCAGTACATGGTGTAGAAAATACAAAATGGATAGAGGCAATGGATGAAGAGATGAAATCTCTCCACAAGAATTAGACTTGGGATTTGGTACAACTTCCTAAGAAAAAAAAGACAATTGGTTGCAAGTGGGTATATGCCAAGAAGGAAGGTAATCTTGGAAAAGACAACATCCTATTCAAAGCAAGATTGGTAGCAAAAAGCTATGCTTATAAAGAGGGGATAGATTATAATGAGGTATTTTCTCCAGTTGTTAAGCATTCATCAATTCGTATTCTGCTAGCCTTGGTTGCACAATTTGATTTGGAGTTAGCCCAACTTGATGTGAAAATTGTCTTCCTACATGGAGATTTGGAAGAGAAAATTTACATGTCTCAGCCAGATGGTTTCAAAATCACTAGAAAAGAGAATTAGGCTTGTAAACTAAAGAAGTCATTATATGGATTGAAACAATCTCCTCGTCAGTGGTAAAAGCGATTTGATAAGTTCATGACAGAACATGGATACACATGGAGTCAGTTTGACAACTGTGTATATTTTCTCAAACTTCTTGATGGCTCTTTCATCTATTTGCTCTTATATGTGGATGATATGTTGATATGGTTCTTTCATCTATTTGCTCTTTCATCTATTTGCTCAAATTCTGTATGCAAATGCAGTTGGTGCATTAATGTATGCAATGGTTTGTACAAGACCAGATATCTCACATGTTGTTAGTATGGTGAGCAGGTATATGCATGATCCGGGAAAGGGTCACTAGCAGACAGTTAAGTGGATTCTACGATATATTCATGGCACAACTATTATTAGTTTGAAGTTTAAAAGGGATAATACACTCGGATAAAATTTAGTTGGTTATGTGGACTCGAACTATATTGGTGACTTAGATAGATGTCGTTCCACAACAAGCTATGTGTTTACACTTGCTAAAGGGCTTGTAAGTTGGAAGTCAACATTATAATCAACAGTAGCTTTGTCAACAACTGAGGTAGAGTACTTGGCAGTAACAGAAGCTTTCAAGAAAGCTATTTGATTATATGGGTTGATTAAAGATTTGGGAATTGTTCAAAAGCACGTGGATGTCCATTATGATAGTCAAAATGCTATTTGTCTTGCAAAGAATCAGGTTCATCATTCTCGCACCAAGCACATCGATGTTCGATTTCATTTTGTTCAAGAAATTATGGATAAAGGGGATATTCTGCTACAAAAGATTGGTACCATAGATAATCTAGCTAACATGCTAATAAAATGTGTCTTAGGGATCAAGTTCCGACATTGTTTAGACTTGGTCAACATCTCTCGGTGTTGAGCACCTTCAGGGTGTAGCGCCATATGGTGCGTTAAAGGCAGCATTAATTGATCACGAGGATTGGATGAAAAAATCTTGTCAAGGTGGAGATTTATAGCAATTTTGTCACCTTTTTTCCACCCACCATGACTTTTTTATTGTAGTAGTTAGTAGTTGGTTGGCATTTATTATGTTGCACATGGGTTGCTGTTAAGACTCTCATTTCTCCTATAAATGGAGACAGAGGCAAGAGAGTGAAATATATAAAGAGATGTGTAGAGGAAGTATGGTGAGTGCAATTGTGTTGGTGAAAGAGAGCAGATTTTGAGAGAGTGAGTGTGTAAGAGTGAAACACTGGATTTGCTGGGATTATATCGGGTTAAATTAAGTGTTTGTATCTGACACGACTAAAAGATTGATGTCTTCTCCCAAGTGCAGGAGTGTCGAAGTAATAAATAACCCGACAAGACTGGGGTCGAACCACAGGGAGGTTAATTGTACAAATTATAAACAACAATAATAGTAACAATAACAACAATAATAATAATATTAGCAATAATAATACTATTAGTAATA